TCCAGCTATCCATTATGGCACAATTCCTTTCCTCATTAGGGCAAGAACCCCAAAGACCAAGGCATGATGCTAGTCTTATTACTGAGAAAGTCCGTTATTCCATGGGGATGTTTGGAAGGCTCAGCCCCTCCATTCTCTCTCTCTCTCTCTCTCTCTCTCTCTCTCTCTCTCTCTCTCTCTCTCTCTCTCTCTCTCTCTCTCCACCAAGCCCATGCCTTGAGTGTCTGGGAACATGCCCTCATGGGGGGTGGGGGTAGGAAAACATTCCTTAGGGTCGTAATGCTCCTCCTACCTTCTGCCTTCAATTTCCCAACCTCTCTCCCTCCTCCTCCTCCTCCTCCTCCTCCTCCTCCTCCTCCTCCTCCTCCTCTTCCTCCTCCTCCTCTCCCTCTGCTCTATTTTCCCTCTCTTCCACTTTTTGCCACCATTTTTCTGCTTATGCCCTGTTTTTCTGTCAGTCTAGGTCAGAGGCAGTGCCAGCTGGGACTGGAGAGAGACCACAGCAGTTAGGGCACTTGCCTTGCACGCGGCAAACCTGGGTTGAATCCCTGGCACCCCATCCAGTCCCTGGAGTCCTTCCAAGAGTAATTCCTGAGTGCAGAGAACCAGGAGTAACCCCTGAGCATTGCTGGTGTAACCAGGACAACTCTAGAGGCAGCGCCAGTAGGAGCTGGATTGGTTTCTTTTTATTTATTTATTTATTTATTTATTGAATCACTGTGGGAAAGGTTACAAAGCTTTCAGGTTTATGTCTCAGTAATGCAAATATCAAACACATTTCCCTTTACCAATACTTATTTTTTACCATGAAGAACCCCAATAAAGCCCCACCCCCCACCCCTCCCCGTCCCTGTGAGGCAGATGAATTCTAGTTAACACTCTATCTGCTTTGATTAGATTCATTGTTTCCAATAAAAGATTCACCACTATTATTTAGAGTTTACCCCCCCCCCCAAATAAGACATGCTGAAAAAGCATTGTGAAGTGATTTGCTTTCTACAGCTGGGTTAAAGAATTAAATGTTGGTTTTGGATTTCTGCTATTTTACCTATTGACCCTGGAAGTATTTCTACTGAAAGTCAGATAGTTAAGAAACTGGTTTCTGTGTTCTGGAGTCGTGGCCGTGCTGGAGAGCCGCTCGCGGGGGGCAACCGGTGGCCTCGGTAGGGCGTGAAGGGCGGAGCGAAACGCCCCCCTTCCCATGAGGTTTTAGTCGCCCCCACACTCCCGGCTCATACCTGCTGTCCACAAGGCTCCCATGTGGCCGCCATCTTTCTTTCCAGAGAGGAGAGGGCGAATGGGGCAACACCCTTTCCCCTCCGGCAGACTTGATGGGCTGGATCAACGCATAGTCCGTTCACTTTTCTGCTCCAAGCTGCTGGGTTCTGCATTAAGTCCTTGTGCTTCCGGGGCCATGGCCGTGCTGGAGAGCCGCTCGCGGGGGGCGACTTGTGACCTCAGTAGGGCGTGAAGGACAGACCGGAACGCCCCCCGACCCATGAGGTTTTAGTCACCCCCACTCCCCCGGCTCATACCTGCTGTCCACAAGGCTCCCATGTGGCCGCCATCTTTCTTTCCAGAGAGGAGAGGGCGAATGGGGCAACACCCTTTCCCCTCCGGCAGACTTGATGGCCTGGATCAATGCATAGTCCGTTCACTTTTCTGCTCCAAGCTGCTGGGTTCTGCATTAAGTCCTTGTGCTTCTGGGGCCGTGGCTGTGCTGGAGAGCCGCTCGTGGGGGGCAACTGGTGACCTCGGTAGGGCGTGAAGGACGGACTGGAACGCCCACCTTCCCATGAGGTTTTAGTCGCCCCCACACTCCCGGCTCATACCTGCTGTCCACAAGGCTCCCATGTGGCCACCATCTTTCTTTCCAGAGAGGAGAGGGCGAATGGGGCAACATCCTTTCCCCTCCGGCAGACTTGATGGCCTGGGTCAACGCATAGTCCGTTCACTTTTCTGCTCCAAGCTGCTGGGTTCTGCATTAAGTCCTTGTGCTTCTGGGGCCGTGGCTGTGCTGGAGATTGGTTTCTTGGGGAAAGCATCTCTTGGCTGCCCGTTTGCTATAGCACCCCCTCCCTCAAAGTCACATAGACTCTTTGAGTTTCCGTGCTAAGACACAGGAAGACCCATACCTGTGGGTGAGGATTTTGTGATCGGGTCCGAGTTGCCCCCGATAAAACTCCTGTTGTTACTGGAATCCTAGCACGAAACACTACCCTGTTTTGCTTGGCTCCCTGGGAAAGGAGAGGGGCAGATCGGGGGCAGTTTAATGTCACCCAGAGTCCGGAGGGGCTTGGTCAGTGTCTGAGTGATAGGGAACTGCCTTCCAAAGTGGGTTTGAGAGAGACAGCCTCCTCTACACTGATCACGTGTCCACCTAAGACTCAGCTTGCTCTTTCCTCTCTAGCTCAGGGCTCTGGGCATCTTGCAGGTTCTATTTTGTTGGTGTATCCTTGCTTCTCCTCCAGGGTCTTGCTAGCCAGGACCCTCTGCATTGCCAGGCTTGTGAAAGGCCTTGGGTGAGCCAGGATGGAAGGCGTGGTCTGCCTTTGGGCGATGACAACCTGGACCCTCCCAGCAACCGACTGGCTGTGTGTTGTTTTTCCAAAACTGGGGCTCATCCCTTTGTCACCCTTTCCAGAATGTTGGCAGATTTTTCCAGTGCTCTTTCGACTCCTCGGTGCCATCTACTATAGAACCCTCGCTGTCCTGAGAACATCCTCACTCCCTCTTTCAAAATACCAGCTTTGTTAAGATGACCTTCATTTACTATAAAATCTCAACCTTTCAGGTAAATTCTGTGATTTAAAAAAAAAAATAGCATATCCATGGAACTGTATAAATATCACCACAATCTAATTTTAGAACATTTTCTTCATCTGAAAAGGAAATGTAGTTGCATCCCTCCTCTTCCTCTTCTCTCTGGCCTCTGGCACCCACTCGTCTATCTACTTCCTACCTACAGGCTACTTATTCGGAACATGTCATAGAAATGGAATCATAACATAAATGGCCATCTATGACTGTCTTTTTAAACTTAGAATGACATGTTTGAGGACTGTCCAACAGGAATCAGAGCATTATTCCTTTTCTATCATATATAGTATGTATGTATATTATATATACACACACACACGCACACATATATGTTCATGTGTGTGTGTATTTGTGATTTGGGGCCACCAGAAACTAAGGGTGGAACCTGGACCTCTTACATGCAAAATGTACATTCCGACCCACCCTTTGACTCATCTCCCTGGCCCTCTAGTTGAATACTAAATGACTCTATACCTGGTTTATTCATGCATTGAGTGAGTTGCATTTAGTAAAACTTACACTTTTTGATTATTATAGCGGGTAGGGCATTTGCCTTGCACACAGCCAACCTGGGTTTGATTCCTCCGTCCCTCTCAGAGAGCCCGGTAAGCTACCAAGAGTATCCAGCCTGCACAGCAGAGCCTGGTAGGCTCCCTGTGGCATATTCGATATGCCAAAAACAGTAACAACAAGTCTCACAATGGAGATGTTACTGGTGCCCGTTCGAGCAAATCGATAACCAACGGGAGGACAGTGCCACAGTGCTATGATGTAATGAACATTTTAAAAACTTCATTTAGTCACTGTGATTTAAAATTTTATTTATTTAAATATTTTATAATGCCATCAATGGTGACCTTTTGTCCTTATAGACACCTACATACAGATGTTTGTTACAACAACAGATGGCCAAAAGAACGGAATCTAAAAACTGGTCTAGAAAATGAAGCTTAGCAGGACAATGAGCTTAGCAGGGCAGTGACATGTGAGGAGTCGGGTGTGGGGGGCTTGGGGGGGGGTTACTGAGACAATGTAGGGAAACAGGCACTATAGTGGAGTAGAGGGCCTGGTATTGGAGCATTGTATGCAAAGAATCCTCCCACTGACAGGACTGCTGGGTCATCCTATATTACTATGTGCTAGTTCTATGTTTAACTTTTTGAAGAGCTGTTTGTTCAAAGTGACAGCACCAATCTACATACCCACCAGCAGTGTAGCATGGTTCTAAGCGCTTCCTGGACCACAAAGCCCTTCACTGTGCAGAAATTTTATTGTGCAGGAACAAAGCATATAGGAGAGCTTTTGCTTTTCTCTAGAACATATCCCAAAGCCAGGACCAAAATTTTTAATCTTCTGTTGTCCTACCTGGTACATACTGGTAATTAAAAAACAAAATTACTTCTGGGCTGGAGAGAGAGTACAGCAGGTAAGGTGCCTGCTCTGCACGCGTCTGGTCTGGGTTCAATGCCCAGCACCCCATATGGTCCCCCCCTACCCCGCATCTCCAGGACCAATCTCTGAATGTGGAGCCAGGAGTAAGTCCTGAGCATCTCCGGGTGTGATCCCCAAACCAAACCAAACCAAACCCCAAAACAAACACAAAATGACTTCTAATTATTAAAATGCTTGACAGTGATAGAATGACTAATAAACTGAAACCCCAAAGTAAGGAGTCATCATCTAATTCAATTATTTATGACTCTCATCAGACACTGGAAACTCCTAACCACTTGTCAGTAAGCACGGCCCCACAGCAAGCAAGCACTGCATTTCGCTTACATCTCCCAAAGTTGACCCAACGCGCCTGAAATCGTTCCCTTAGGGGAACCAGAGACGCGAGCGCCGCCGCCCCAGCTGTCAACCTGGCGCCATTCAGCTGGCACCAACTCTGGGAAAAGCAGAACTGCCAAGGGAGGCCATTGCCCCTAACCAACATGGCCGCCCGGAGGCTTCACACTGTGGGCGGCAAAGTGCCGATCACGTGAGCAGAGCCCCGTCCCCTCACGGGCCAATCTCTCCGGAGTGGGCGGGCACTAGAACCCCGAGGGCGCCGGCCTTAAAGGGCCCGCCGCGCGCCCCTCCGGGAGCTCCGCCCCTTGGGGGGCGGGAGGCGCGGCGGACGCGTCCGCGGGAGCCGTGGTGACGGCTGCCGGCTGCGCCGCGAGCGCTAGGGGGTTAACGGCCGGCTCGGCGGACGGGGAAGGAGAAGCGGGAGGGGCCGGCTGCGGCGGCCGGGGCGCGCAGGGGCGCGGGGATGGAGGACGGCGTGGCCGGGCCCGGACGCGGGGCGGCGGCCCAGGCCGGCGGGGCGGCGAGAGCGCGGCCCGGGGGGACGCTGCGGCCCTTCGCGCCCTTCTCGGGGGCGGCGGCGACCGACGAGGGCGGCGGCGACTGGAGCTTCATCGACTGCGAGATGGAGGAGGTGGACCTGCAGGACCTGCCCAGCGCCACCATCGCCTGCCACCTGGACCCGCGCGTGTTCGTGGACGGCCTGTGCCGGGTGAGGGGCGCGCGGGCCGTTCCTGCTGCTGGCGGTGGTGGTGGTGGTGGTGGAGGGGGAAGGGCGCCAAGCGGAGGGTGGACACTTGTTGCCGGCGCGAGGGTCGCGGCGCCCGGGGTCCGAGTCAGCGCGTCCAGCCTGGGATCGGCCGGCGGACTCGGAGATGGGCCAGGGACAGCCCTCCTTGGCTTCCCTGGCGCGACCCCCTGGGCTCCCAGCTGGATGAGGAGGGGTGGCGCGCGCCTCGAGGGTCCCCGGGTCCCCGGCACCTGCCGGGCGGTGAGCGCACCCCGCCTACGATGCATGGGTGCAGGTTTGGGGTGCGTGGGGACGTGGTGAGGGGGCTGGGAGGGTTCCCCGAGGCTGGTAACCGCCTCCCTGCGGTTCCCGGGTCCGGGTGAGTGTGCGTGTGTGTGCGTGTGTGTGTGTGTGTGTGTGTGTGTGTGTGTGTGTGTGTGTGCTCGCGCGCGCGCGCGCATGGGGGCGTGTGGGGAGATGATCTGTGCCTGCAGGAGCGCCCGAGGTTGGAGCGGGGATGCGGGGGGACCGCCCGCCAGCGCGCAGCGTCCCCCGCAGCAGGAGGCGTGCACCCGCGCCGCGCACCCCACTCATTCATCTTTCGGGGAGGGGTCGCCTCGGCCCCGCCCGCGGGGAGGAAGGAGGCGGCCGATGCGGAGCGCCGGGAGCGTGACTCACGGTACCTAAATAGGACGTCCTCGCGCTCCGCTGGCCCAATCTGCGCGGCTGGAAGGGAGCCAGGGTTGGGGTGAGCATTCGCGGTTGCTCATTCTCATCCTGCGGTTGGCCCGTTGCGGGCAGGAGTGGTGGTTGGGGCGGGGATGATGCGGGGCGTTGAAGGGTGCGGAGTTTGGGGGCGCTTGCTCCCCCGGAGGAATGACACCCGGGTCGCCCGTGCTCCGTGGCATGGGGAAGGGGGTCTGATTTTTAAGAAGGGTTCTCTAGGTCCACGTGGTTTGGGATGCGGGGAAGGGTGGAGATGGGGATGCACGGGTGAGTGATGGGTAGTCCCGGGAGCGGGCGGGTATGGGGGAGAACTTAGTACTGAGCAGGCAGAGGGAGGTGGTTGGCACCGCCTCAGAGCGAGGCAGCCCTAGGAACCCCGATTTGGGGAGACACGCCGCTGCGTTTTCGGCCAGCTGTGCCGCGGCTGCCTCGGTGAGCTGATACGGGTAGGTGGGGCTGCCGTGCCCCAGCAAATCTGGCCTGTCCCTGTCCCTCTGCTGGCAGGACCTCCTGCTTTCCAAAAGCGTGACCCACCGGGCTGCTGCGCGCTTGGATGCGCTTCCAGTGTGCTCGCCGCAACCCAGGTCTCCTCTGGGTCCTTCCCACTCCACTCGGCTCTGCTTCCACCAGCATCGCCAGTTGCTTTGCTAGGGCGGGTGCGGGAGGGAGGTTAGCAGATGTCTAGTTTGATGCTCTTCCCACCCAGCGTGGGGGGGTGGGGTGGGGTGGGAAGAGATCTTCTAGAACTTGCTTGTGTGTGCCATTTAGCCTGCTCCGTGCTCAGTGTTCCCGTAGCAGCTGGCCAGAGTTCCCAAGATACCACCAGGCGGGTTCTAGACTCTGAGGGTTCAGCGGTGAAGGAGGCAACAGAGCTTGCTAGCAGCACGTTTCTCTGTGGACCCCCGGGTTTTGGTGAGCTAGGGAAGAGCAAAGGTTTCAGAGAGCTGGGCAGGGCCGGGAGAGAGATGCTGCTTTTAGAGGAGCGGAACAGGGCAGGTCCCACTACAGATACACTGAGCTGGAACTCTGGACCAGGTTTTTGTCAGCCCTTTGCAGTTTGTATTCTGTGGGGCCCCTTGCATGTTTACTGTGTTCCAGGCACTGTTTTGAGCCCCAGGGACAGAGCGAAGGGGACAGTGTCGGGATGGGAGGGGAGGAGGGAAGAGAGAGAGAGAGAGAGAGAGAGAGAGAGAGAGAGAGAGAGAGAGAGATGGAGGCAGAAAGAACAGGATAATGGGGTCTGGGGCCCAGTACTGGACTAGTCACCTCTCTTCGGAGAACACTGGAGGTTCCAGAGGTTTGGGTGAAGCTCTGGCGAGTGGGGCAGGAATAGGGAGTCAGGGCTGGGAAGAGGGGTGGGAGGATGGAGCAAAAGAAGCTGTGGGTGGAACCTGGCAGAGGAGACCTGCGTTCCTGAATTACTACCCTGAGATGTGCAGGGGGCACAAAAAATGTGTCCCTGTCACCCTCTCTCTGATCTCAGTGACGGGGCCCAGCTGGCGGCCAGGAGCTCCGCCCACCCAGCATTGGAACCAGCTCACCAAAACCCAGGAGGACGGTGGAATGGACAGATCATGGCCAGGGGACAGGGTGCGGAAGGAAGATGTGCAGGGAGGGGGTCAGCGGCCGGGAGTCAGCCGTGCTGGCCAGAAGCAGGCCGTGGATTGGGGGCCGTGGGCACCCAGGCCCAGGGAGCGGTGGACACAGCTTCCGAGGCAGAGGGTCGGAGGGACAGTGGGGAGTTGAGGTGGGTCGACTCGGGGCTTGGTTCCAGGGAGGGCTTTGAAGAGCCCGGGAGGGATCTGGTATTGATTCTAGTTGCGAAACAGAGTGGGGAAAGGTCTCTGGGGGAAGAAGAGGGGTGGGCGAGAGGGCACGCAAAGGGTGGCTTAGGGGTTCTCAGGGGAGGGGATGGGGCGGTGTGGCGAACAGGGTGGGTTGGGGTCCGGAGTCTGGCCGATGGGGCATCTGTTTGTTTGGGGTTTTTTTGGTTTGCTTTTTGCGTTACACTCAGCGATGCACAGGGGTTATTCCTGGCTCATGCACTCAGGAATTATTCCTGGCGGTGCTTGGGGGACCATATGGGATGCTGAGAAACGAACCCCTGTCAGCCACATGCAAGGCAAACGCCCTGCCCACTGTGCTATTGCTCCAGCCCCCGATGGGTCCTCTAGATGTCAGACCCCTGCAGCCTGGGGACAGACAGCTCCAGGAAGCCGCCTGTGGGCTTGTTTGCTGTGAGGGAACTCGCCGTCTGGCATCTTCTAATCCTTAGACTTGCTGTCTCGCTTCACCAGGCAGAGCCTGAAGTCCGAGATGGTGGGGTTATGTGTGACTGACTGGAGGGTGCTCCCATGGGCTGCACACCTTTTGCTGTGTCCTCCCACAGTGGAAGGAATGTGGCAACTATTTTAAAGCAATTATTCGTTCATTTATTTTTGTTTGTTTAGGGGCTGGAGCGATAGCACAGCGGGTAGGGCGTTCGCCTTACAAGCGGCCAACATGGCCGACCCGAGTTCGATTCCTCCGCCCCTCTCGGAGAGCCCGGCAAGCTACCGAGAGTATTCGATATGCCAGACACAGTAACAACAAAGTCTCCAATGGAGACGTTACTGGGCCCGCTCGAGCAAATCGACGATCAACGGGAGGGCCTTTACCTTTACCTTTTTAGGGGCCACACCTGGTGGTGCTCAGGACTCACTCCTGGCTCTGCACTCAAGGCTCGGGGGACTCTATGGGATGTTGGGGATGGAACCCGGGTTAGCTGCATGTGACGTAAGAGCCCTACCCACTGTGCTCTCTCTCTCCAGCCCCCACGTGGCTTTTGAGGGGCTAGATCTCTTCTTGAAGGACACTAATCCCATTCCTGAAGGCTCAGTCCCCATGTCCTGTTCACCCCCCCCAGAAGCCCTTCCCCCCCCCCCCCCCCCCCCCCGCTAATGCCCTTACACTGGAGAGGGGTTAAATTTTTAGTGTTCATGTTGAATCTTCCTTGTATGTTCATTGTTATGTTCCTTTTATTCTCTCATTGTGAATAATTGAATTGACCGGAACTACGAATGGACTGGCGGGGGGTGGGGGTGTTTGCGTTGAAAGCTGCTTCCTACCTATGACTGTTGGTCCTGACATGTAAAATTTCTCTGGATCCGAATTATCATCAGTATGGTCAGTCTCAGGAATATGTGACTAAATGTTTATCTGGGGAGGAGGGGGGAAGAATTAAAGAATTAAGTTGTGTGATCATTAAAGTCACATTGATTAAAGAGATTCACAGATTCATACCATCACAAATGAATGAAAACATTCGCTAAAAATAAGATGATTTTGGTGCCAGAGCAATAGTACAGTGGGTTGGGTGCTTGCCTTGTATGCGGCTGACGTGAATTTGATCCCGGGCACCCCATATGGGCCCCTGAATTCTGCTAGGAGTGATCCCTGAGTGCAGAGCCAGGTTAAGTCCTGAGTACCACCAGGCGTGGCCCCAAAAGCTAAAAAAAAAAGAAAAAGGAAAAAGATGATTTTCTGTTGTCCAAAGACTCGCTCAGCAGACCCCTCTATTTGTGGGAGCCTTTTTAGTTTGTACTGAGAAAGCAGAGTAATGCTCGGCGCCAATAATTACATGTGCTTGGAAGTGTTGGCAATAGCTAGCTGGTTCTCGAGAATAAAAGTTTATTCAGACATCCCCAAGCTAACCAGAAATTTAAGAGCTCTCAAATAATATTGTTGGTTTCCAGGCAGAACATATAGTTCCATATAGTAATGGAAACGAATTACTATGTTCTTTTTTTTTTTCCTTTCCTATTGCCTAAATGTCTGTTTGACTCAGACCTTTACCCAAAGGCTCCGTTGGAAAATGCTAATCATAGAAAAAAAAAGGTGATCTTTTTTGGGCCTAAATTCACCTCTCAAAATAATTGCCACCACTTGGGCTGGAGTTACAGTATAGCAGGGAGGGCATCTAACTTGCACGCAGCCGACCTGGGTTCGATTCCCAGCTTCCCATATGGTCCCCTGAGCACCTTCAGGAGTGATTTCTAAGTGCAGAGCCAGGAGGAACCCCTGAGTATCACCGGCTGTGACCCAAAAAGAAAAAAAAATTGACACCTTTTAAAAAATAATTACTATTATGACATACTTGTCAGTACTCAGAACACAGAATGTTCTGATGGGCATAAAGGCCCGTGTGGCACAGTCCTTAGATTCTCTGGATCGGTGAAGACATGGGCAGTTAGAATTTCAGGGTGCCCCCCTAAACC